CGATAACGTCGATTTTCCCACGATAACGTCGATTTTCCCACGATAACGTCGATTTTCCCACGTAAGGTCGATTTTAGACAATATTTACACAGTACACATAAAAATTTACACAATATTCACACCAAATTTACAATTTAGATTGAACAATAGGAAACGACTAAATTTCTTCTCACCGCTTCATTCACTGAAGAATCAGGTTATCTAGAAAGACAGAGAGGTTGAAAGTTGACTTTCATCGCTGGGAAGAGCGATGTCATACGTGTTGTTCCGAAGATGTTATCACACAGAACGGGAGACCAGTCGGAAACTTCAAGCTAGTCGCAGCTAGGGAGGTGTCCGGCTATTGGGATACCTAGACGTATTGTCATGGACGTCGAACGCCAATCTTACCATCCAGCGGGGGAAGAATGTAACCATTTCCCGTTATACAAACGTGCCCTTCACTGCCGGCACCTACGACCACAGCTGTTGACGCGTCCACAAACACAAGATAATCAACGGATCAATTAATCATTACAGCGGAGTAAGAAGCAGAGCGGTGTTCAGGCTACATCTGGAAAGCAAAACATATCACTGAAACCACAAATACATTTTCGTGGTATTGCTCGACTAACTACTAAAAAAACGACTAAGTCGAATGATCATGAATTCCATAATTTTCAACCATAATTGATTATTTATCTCCTGAATGGGGAAGGGGGCTCTTCATTATAATTGTCTAGGTATAACGGACTGTCAAAATAAACAGCCATACGATACGTGCTACGTTTGCGAGAATTTTTGTTCTCGAAATCATGCTTAAAAAGAGGGGTGTTCGACTGATTTTCGGGCAGTCAACTGCTGTGGTCATTATCCTGTAGATGTAGTGCACAATATATTCCGTGAGAAGGCGGTGTTCCTCCCCGCTCAACGTGAAATCTGGCGCTGACCGACACGTCGGCTAGGATAGGGTTCCCTTTCGGATATATCCTCCCGCATGATACCCCAACCGGGACACGCTCTAAATCGGAGTGGTCCTCTGGTGAGCATAAAAGGGTGTGGAGTGGAAAAGGAGAGTGTGTGTGAGTCCGGGGAGAGAAGGGGGGGGGAATGAGGACGGAAAGATTGCGCACGGTCGGTGGTCCGTTAAAGAACTGCGCCGGTAATCGCCAGTTATTGTTCG